GGCCACACGGAACAGGGCGCCCCAGCCCCGCCGCACCCACCTCCTTCCACTCGTTGACGCAGAAGATCCGGTAGGAGTCGTTCCCGTACTTGCCGATGCCGTGCAGCTCGATCGGGTACCGCCAGGCCCGGCTCAGGTACTCGTCTGCAGGAGGGGCCGCGTCAGCGGGAACGCGCTGGGAACGCGGCTCGGCCGCTGCCTGGGGACGGCGGGCAGGGCAGGGGCTGCAGCTCGAACCTGTCGCTGCCAGGGAGCTTTACCTGAGAACCTGATGATGGTTTTTGCCCTGAGCTCATAGAGGCCAAGAGGTCTGAGCAGCTCTGACATCTCCTTCCAGTCAGCATTCCGGGTCACCTCAGGAGAAGGATACTTCTTCAGGAATTCCCAGAGCACAGGAATTGCCATTTTACCTAGTGGAAAAAACCCTCATGGACAGGAGGCTGTGCAGGAGGCTGCTGAGATTACCTGTAGCTGCTTTTTGAAGGGAGCTGCTTCTGAAGCAAGAGTTACAAATCAAGGATACATTTTTTTTTCACAGAGACACAAGATACATTTATTCTTCCATCAGTGCCATTACACCCTGGGAGCTGCTCTGACCCTGCCCCCCACCACCCCCACTATACCCCCCCCCGTTCACACAACACAAATGGTGTGACTCGATTTACCTGAAGTCTTATTGAGAAATATGGTTGCAATGAGAAGCTTCCATGGATCGTGGAAAAGTGTTTCCTGGATGAGATTAAAAGGGGAACGTGGAGGAGTCCATTTTCTGAAGGCCTTCCTCCTGGGTGGGCTGGGAGCTGCACACAGAGGCACAACAGGAACGTTACTGGGCAACACCAGATGGATTTACCTATTTGAATGAAAATAATTGTTCAAGATTAAGACCTTCTGAAGATTCACGTTTGTGAGGGCACTGCACATGGATGGGGCACTGGCAACTCACACAGAATTTGACAGAAGTGCAAGGGACAATGTGTGCCTGGCACAGGCTGCAGGGAGTCCAGGCTGCCTGCGTGCCCCACGGGACACCTGAGGGGAGGGGTCCCGGGACCCCCAGACACTGCCACAGTCCATGTCACCTTCAGCCCTCTCTTCCTCCCCCCACAGCACAGGATTTATTTCCCTGCACTATACTGTACCTTCTTTACTGTATCTACTTGAAAAATATGGACTCGTTTTCCTCCTGTCCACTTGTGTCCGTGGGACAGACTTTTCTGTAAGGAAACAATATTTCAGCATTAAAAATACCCAAGTATTTTGCTGTCATGTTTCATGCAGTGTTTCCACTTTATGTTGTGACAGAAAAGCAAGAATTTCCTGTATGGAACATAAATGTGCTATAGATTAACTCCAGTGCTCTTCTGTATTCCAGGCCTAAGAAAAATCTTTGGAAGATGAAGTGTTACTGAGGAAACAGATTCTAGCAAATGAAACAAGCTCAAAGGAGCCTTTTTTGTGAATCAAACTGACCAACAGTGCAGCAACATCAAGAGCTGATGCAGCAAAGGGAATGAAGAGTTAGGTAATGAAGGTAAGTTGGGAATAACCCTGCATGAAGTTAAATGCTGTTGGAGAATAAATGAGACACGTTTGGATGTCAAAGCAGCTTGCCCTGGAACAGAATAGTCTGTACAGTCAGGGAACTCCCCACAGTATGAGAATGTTCTGCTGAAAAACACACAAATACCTGGTGGCTTTTTCACTGCGGTGAAGCTTTTCTTGTCACACAGCTGCAAGCCCTTGGTGTCTGTGTCAGCCTCAGGCTGGAAATCCTGGTTGCCTGGATTCCCTCGGTCTGTCTCTCTCCCCACTTCCAATCCCATGGTTTTCTCCTCAGGTTTGGCAGATGTGTCACTGGAACCTGTCTCCACACGTTCCTCTGCTGAGCTCCCCGGGTGCCTTGGCAAGCCAGACCTGAGTGCCCTCAGCTCCAGGTCTGACCCAGGCCTGGGAGCCCAGAGCTGAGCTGCTCCTGAGCCCCTGGGGTCTGTGTCCTGCTGACAGCCCCCCTGCCTGGCACTGGCACCCGGGTCTGCCCGGCTGCAGAGCCGCTTGTTTTGAGCACTCTGGGTTTCCTGTTTGTCACACGCCCTCCTGGGTCTTTTGCTCTGGGTATTCTCTCGATTCCTCTTTTCTGAGGTCTTTGCAGTTCTCTTATTCTGACCCCTTTTTCCACCTGCCCCCTTTTCGTTGGTTCTCACGCAGCCCTCTGGGGTAACACCACTGATGCTCAAACCTTCACCTTCCAGAGTGGATGTCACATCTTCCAGGTGTTCATTGCCCTCTGGAAGGTTCTGATTTCTGTCCTCTGCACCGTGTTGTGCACCCAGGCCTTGCTCTTGGCCATAACAATCCTCACTCTCTGCAGCAGCTCCCACAGCTTTTGTGCTGTGTCCTTTCCCCCTCGAACGGGCTCTGTGCTGACCAGGAGCTCTAAAATCAAAGTCTTCTGCTCTCAGACTCGTCTCCCCAGTTTTCCGAAGATACTCGAGGAGGGCGCTCTTGGATCTCAGCTTCTTTCCTTCAGGGCTGTGGTAGGAAGGAAAGTTAATAAGTGATGGCTTCCTCATTCTCTTGCACGTCACTTCAACTGTTCTCGTGCTTAAAAAAATCAAACAAGTGCCGGCAGGTGACAGGGTGATGTCTCGGGGAGTGTCTGTGACCTTAACCCCGCAGACCCGGTGCCCCTCGGGCGGCCCCCGCGCCAGGCACACACCCGGTTCAGCGGCAGTGCCGGCCCGTGCTACCGGCAGGGAGGGAGCGGCTTGCCCGGGGCTGCCCGGGCCCGGCCTCACCTCACAAAGTACACATCGATCCTCCCGGCCGTCCGGCCCGACAGCCTCCGCCGCGTGAGCACCTGCCAGCCGCGGGGGGCGGGGGG